ATATTTTGCTCGATGCGCCCTCTTGTGGCCTCAGGAGAGAATCCAAAAGCTTTTCTTCACCCTAACTGAAATTATGCATTTTAAATTCAAATACAATTCGAATTTTTATAATATTTAAGTACAAAATTCGAATTTAGTTTTTCAGCCATTTTGACAGCCCTATTAAATAAATATATATATATATTTACTCCTTTGCCAATTTGCATAACTTCACTAACAAATGTAATATATATATATATATATATATAATCATAATTATTTTTTAATTAGTTTTGACCAATATTATTCAAAATCAGCTTTTTATAAACATACTAAATAAATATAATAGGAAAAATAAGAAAAAGGAAGCATAATATCTGCACCTCGGAAAATTAAACATGAAATATGAAATAATATGAAAAACGGATTATTTTTATTTATAGCAGATCAAATTAAAATGAAGTATTAAGTACACAAATGCAATTGGTTTTACTTACGCTTTTAGATATGGATGTCATACTGATGCTGCATTACTTCTCTCGTTTATCACTCTGCCTGAAGCCTCATTATGATAAATACTGTCACTGTCTCTGGAACTTGGATTCATTCACATATTTCAGAAAGCCGAGCTGGGCCGTCGAGGTCGTGGTTTCGCCTCCAGCCAATCATCGGCAAAGGTGTGCGGAGCGTCAGCCAATCAGGAGAGCGCGTCGCTGCGTGATCGGCGGCTGACCGGCGCGGTGTGTGCGGGTGGTGCAGTCGGTCAGCTGTGTGTGCAGGAGACTGATGCTCGGATATTTAAGGCGATCCCTGCGGAACCTGATTCAGCTCGGGCATTTACTCACATGTTTTACTCAGCGACCATTAAGAAGCCTCGATTTTATTCATAACGCTGTGCAATATCTTCCGTTATTTCATCATTGCACCATAATATCATTAAACCAATGTTAAACCTACTTTCTACTAACTTCGGGCTGCTATTAATCTATCTATCTATCTATCTATCTATCTCTATCTTTGTTTTATACAACTTCAAAAATTGAATTTTACTATATATATATATTTAATATATTTTCAGATATGTATTTATATATAATTAATGTTTATATACAGATATATCTATATATGGCCTATATATCTTTGTTTTATACAACTTTTAAAAAACAATTTGAATTTTGATACATATATATAAATATATATATATATATATATTAAATATAAATTTTACACACTGCTCTGATTGGGTCACCATTGACGTACAAAGCAAAATCTGGGTCCTGGAGCAAAACCAGTTGAGAACCACTGGTGTAGAAAGTCCTTTGGGAGGCCGGTTCACGTACCTGGGATGGTGGAAGTGCTGGGACCCTGGCTGGTGCCTGTGGAGGCAGTGGTAAGGGAGCCCACTGCAGGGGCCAAGATGAAATCAATGTCCCCGTCTAGCAGAGAAGATGGTTTTGTAAGACATCAGGCTATCGCATGCATGCAATACATCTGTTACGACCCAAAAACTGCTGCACTCACCAGGATCCATCGGTGGAGGGTCTGGTACCCAGCTGGGAGGAGCAATAGGGGGTGAAACGGGGTCTTGGTGGTCACTGGAGGAAGGGCCGGATTCGTGCCGGCCCAAACCTGCAGCGCGGAGGGAGCGCCTCATCATCTCTCTCAAGCGCAAGCTACAGAAACGAGAACAACGAAAGTGAAACAACTGTACACTAGGGCTGTCAAAAAAAATTCGAATATCGAATTTAAAATAAAAATCCACATTTAGGTCAAATTTTAGGTGTGCGTTAAAGAGGCAGCCTTATCAGTGGCGCACAAGATACGATGATGACGATGTAAGTGTTATTGCATTTTAATGTTTTTGTCAGCCTATTCAGTTGAAGCCACTAGATGCGGCGCTGCTGCATTATTAATTAAAAATATTGCGGAAAAAGTTGTAAAAATATTTTTTTTAAGTTATAAATATCACAAAAATTTGTATATATATCCTATAAAATAAAATAAAATGCGTTTTTTTTTAATGTAAAAAAATACATTAATTTAAATTGGTATAGAGAGAGAGAGCAGGCGCCTATAAAAAGAAAAAAAAAAATACTTGGTTGTTAAACCTTTGCGTTTACTCTCCCCGCTGATGAATATTTGGTTACATACTCGGTTTAGTTGCTCAAACACATGAAAAAGAAGGTTTATAACGTCTTTAATCCAACACACATGGTAGCATAAACGCAGACGTTGACAAGACCAGACAAACTAGAACTGAATACTTCTGAACTTAAATACACAAACCAAACAAGCATAATTAACTACACACCTCTGGACAGACTGACACCATTAACTCAATGAAGGGGAGCTGTGCACGAGGAAACAACGTCCAAACTGAAGGAAATTACATTAGTAAGTTGTTAAATAAGTTACCCAACAGGCCAAAGCACAACAGACAGTCTGCCAGGGATGTTTATTCTCTCTCTGCTGAAGCATGATCTGCACAAACCATACTCCTGACAATATTTTATGATACTGTTAAACGACACTGACTTCACTCTCCAGCGTTAGCGGGTCATCTGAGGCTTGAATTCCTGGACTCAACCTTTGGCCTAGATTTGTGTGAGTGCATGAGCATGTGTAAATCCAGAGCACTCCCGCCGAGGCCAGATTTTACTCATGTAGCCTACTTTACATGATTCAACCTCTGATCTGTTGAGAAGGAGTCACAAACAGAGTTATTTTGGTGAATTCTCAGTTGGTGATCTTGCATGCGCACACAACTTTCATGCTATGACCACACAAACAAGCTAAGCAAAGTGTGCAGATGTTAAAAAGCATTAAACAAATGCCATGCACTGTAAAAGTAACCTGCAATTACCACCTTAACTTTCTGTGTCTTCGCTGTTATACAGTAGGAGGCGCTATTACACATCTTCTGAAAGAGCACTGAATCTCTGGATCAAAAACATGGCGAAGAAGAAGAAGCAGAAACAAGTGATGGCGTATGTAAGCAGACGCATAGTTTTGCTGGTATAAATTGATAGATTGATGATGTTGCATAATATTTTTGACTTGAATAAAACTATGTTACCATTTTCAGGTGACCATTTTTTTCAGTGTGTTCCCCTATTAAGGGTAAAATCACTGTATAAACACTCATTACACGACTATATGTGAAATAAATACAAAACATTGGGTTGACTTGAAGTTATTTTATTATGCATAAAGAAAGATGAGTATGGAGTGAAATGAGAAACTAGTACAGCTAACAATCATTTGCATGCACTGTAAAAAGTAGTTACCTTAAAGAGACATTTTACCTGATTTAACCCAAAAAATGTGTTTAGGTATAAATTCATGTATTTAGTTTGATTTGGTGATGCTAAATCATATTCTTGATTTGATTTCACTAAGTCCAGTTAATTTAGATGTTACTGTTTTTAGGTTACAATTTTTTTTCAGCGTGGCACAATGATCAATCATACGCAGCGACTGACCAATCAGAAGATTTCATCCTGACCCTGTTCACTATTTTTAGCTATTTTTAATCTTTCCTGTTTGCAGATTCTCATCTGAGCACAAAGTGCACTAAACTCAAGCACCCATGCACATGATTCCCAGTATAGAATATGACGTGTTTACAGAAAGTCACTCTTTAACTCACTAAACAAAGTTTTGGTTAAAAATAACTTCAGCCTGTTCGTGTCTACACTGATCGTCCTTTCATTGAAGATCAACTCAACACAGATATATGTCATTAAAGCTGGTATCTTCATATTACCAATAATCAACAATGGTTTAATGAACAAAATAAATAAATAGAATAAAATAATAATAAATTGTTTATTTATTTGATAGGGACAATGCTGAACATCTGTAGTAATACAGAATGTAAACAAGCCGTAAATCTAAACGGGTTGTGCTCCAAATTTTAGGTTGACATCACAAAAAATTAGCTTTGAGTAAGATTTTGTTTGGGCGCAGTACCAAACGTTTCCACTAGATGAAATTAATTTCCCATTGGTGTCCAATGAACAATACAAGAGTGAATATTTTTTTAGGACCATTTAACCTTTTCAAATCACGTCCATGATTTTTTTGTGTTCAGATAGCAAGTGAAGTTTAACCTTTTCCATTCCGATTTGGTCAAAAATGGTTGAAGACCACCAGAAACACTGCGTTTCAAAGCATCCCAGCATGCACCTGATGGACTTTACATTTGCATGCATTTGGCAGATGCTTTTATTCAAAGCAACTTGTATTGCATTCAAGGTTTACATGTGATCAGTTGATGCATTCCACGGGAATCGAACCCTTGACCTTGGCGTTGCTAGCCGTACTACGATCTACTGCTTGAGCTACAGAAAGCTGGCTGATGAATGTCAAGAGCGATCAGAGCTGGAATCCAGAGTTTTCATTTGTGTCACGTTTTGATCGTTCCCAGACCTCCATGCGTCTTATTTCATAAACATTGCTAATTTACAAAATAAAATAAGGAAAAGACTCTGTTGGCCTGTTGAGCTCACAGATGTATGAAAATTACACCCTGTTCTGTAACAAAAAGTCATATTCTGATTTGAAACCCATTGACATTTTTCGGAGGTGTTTTTTATGACCAACAACTAGCCAGATTTAAAGGATAATTACAAAACATGATCATGTTTCAGTGCTAAATTTGATCATTGCATATCAGCCATATTTATAGAGCAAGGAGAAAGTGTGTTTATGTTCAAACCTCTAAGCATTTGATATCTCTAAAAATCCCTGAATGTGCTCTGTACAGGACTTAACACTGTAGAGAAATTCACTAAAATATCATGTCCTCTACAGAGGACAGAAGTCTATAGAAAAAAAGAGGACTGGATTAAAACTAGAGCTGCTCCTGACTACATTTTGTTCATTTAAAGGTGGATAACACACACAGTTTCATCAGATTTGGAGAAATGAAGCATTGCATCACTTGCTCAGCATTGGATGCTCTGCAGTGAATGGGTGCCGTCAGAATGAGAGTCCAAACAGCTGGTAAAAACATCACAGACATCACAAATCATATCCATCACTAAGACATTTTTAACTTCAAACCTTTACTTCTGGCCATAATACGAGTCCTCTATCCTTAATAACGCTTCCTCCAGTGAAAAGGTTGTCTCGTCTGAATCAGGAGAGAAATATGTACAGATTAAATCATTTTAATGATGGATTTGTTTCTTACAAACACGCAGCGTTTCTCTTCTCCAGATGGTAACTGATGGACTGGCGTGGTGTGGATTACTTGTGGATTATTGTGATGTTTTTATCAGCTGTTTGGACTCTCATTCTGACGGCACCCATTCACTGCAGAGCATCCATTGATGCTACATTTCTCCAAATCTAATGAAGAAACAAACTCATTTATAGCTTGGATGGCCTGAGGGTGAGGACATTTTCAGCAAATTTTCATTTTTGGATGAACTATCCCTTTAAGGTGTGTTTTGGGCATAAGATTTCAACAGTTTACAAAGTTCTCATTGTATTTAGTCCACAAAAAAACATAATCTCTTTGCCATTAAAAACAAAACTGAACTATTGTAATGGCTGCCACAGTAGACTGTAATGAGGCCCGTGCAGGGCTTTAACTGCTCTGAGAAAATGTCATTTAGAAGGCTAAATCTGCCTCCTGCTGGAGATTATATGCACGTTTACTCTGGCAAATGGTCTAACTGCTATTTACAGCTTTTGTATTATATAAAAATAATCTTTTGGCGTTTCATGATTTGTGATCAAAATTAAGAGATTTTAATTTACTCTCTATTTATTTACCTGCTCAATATCACTTTACAGAATATATGTGTACAGTGAGAGTGGGCCAAAAATGTGACACTCAAAAGAAATAAATAAATTAAATAATATAAAATAATAAAATAAAATAAAAATAACAGGCCTATTGAATGTATTTTAAATGTATAATAACCAGGTATATTTATCATGAATACATTTTAACTAATTGAATATTGCTTGTTCCAGCCATATTTTAATGTTCATACTTTTTAACTAAAATAATTCAATTTTTTTCACAATGAACATATTTATGCTGATTCTAAGCTAATTAAACACATGCATTTAAAAAATATGATTATTTCAATAAAATAAATATATTTTAGTTAATAATAAACTATGACTTTTTTTTTGAAAAATCGTTTGACTTACAAATGTGCATACATTTGTTTGTTATTAGTTTGTTTATTGTAATGCTGTGTAATTCAAACTGATGGAAATATTAATATGCGATTCAAATGCATATATCTTAAATTTAGGCCTAAATTGTTTTTAGTGCACTAGTGAAAATGCAATGTGAAAAGAATATACAGCATTACTCATTATGACTTATACAATATTCAGGTGCAGTTTCCATGCAATATTTACATTAGAACAGCAGAAAAGTCGTTATTCTGAACTCAGAAGGTTCAACTGACCTACATGTTCACTACAAGCCAAAATTTCTTTAAAGCCCATATTATTAGCCTTGGGGCATTTACCTGCATTTATAAAGCATTTCTTGATAAATATAATTTCTTTATGGTGCACACCGCATGCAAAGCACAGTTACAGGTGGAAAAGCACAGTCACAGGTGGAAAAGCAGTCTCAGGTGGAAAAGCACAGTCACAGGTGGAAAAGCACAGTCACAGGTGGAAAAGCACAGTCTCAGGTGGAAAAGGTGTGTTTTTGTAAGGCAGGTGGTATGACATCATTGCTTTATTCCTATGGGTGCCACAAAGCATCACGTCTCAGAAGCTAAATCAAGTACTAGATTGTTTCCCCTCAGAAATATGAGATGCCTGATAACTCTGGCATGGGCTTAATATCAACTCAAACTGTAAATCAGCCAAAGAAGAGCTTTGTGTCAGCACTGAATGCAGATAACGCTGCAACAACAGCCGTGTATTTACTACAATGACACGCGCATCACTCGTCTCCAACACATGGGAAGCGACCCGTGAGACCCGCCCCTTTATTCCTTCCAGCCAATCCGCTTCGCCGACACATGCTCGCTCTCGACCAATCAGCGTCGCCGTCTCACTCGCATCCTCCCCAACAGACCCGAAGAAGCTTAAACAGAGTTAAGATGGCGGCATGTGGATGAGAAGGTTGTACATTTCAGCTCTTCGGTTGCTTTCGGTGAAGAAAACACACGTTCTCAAACCTAACCCGTGAAGACAAGAGAAAAGCCCCCCCGCGAAATCATTTACCCGGCACCGAGCCCATGACGTCCATTCACTTCGTGGTTCACCCGTTACCCGGGACCGAAGACCAGCTTAATGACAGGTATTTGTAAGAAAGAAGCGGTGTGCGATCAGTATTGTGGTGAACGTGCATTCAGAGATTGTTAATGAAATATCTGGAGTATTTTACGGCTGCTGCAAGCGCTCAAGGTTGGACATTTGGGTCTAAAAATAACGAGGCCCGGCTGACTGGAGACACAATGCGGGTTGGGGGATGGGGAGGTGAAAAGAGAGGGAATTGCGATAAATGTATGCTTTTACACATCAAATATAGACTTTTATTTTAACCCTACGATTTACTTATTACATTTAACTCGTGTTTTGTATGATACGCCGAATGAATGCGAAGAGAATTGCTGAATACAAATCCTCTCAGGTTAGCCGGTTAGCCTTTAGCTCTGCGCTAGCTCGTCCGTTTAAACTATTTATCCTCATAAAGTTGTTGGAAATTACATTACAGCTAGTGTGAAATGTGTTTTGACGTCTGTCCTTCTGGTTTGTTTCAAATCTAGGGTTGAGCAGCTAGTTTTAACAGTTGTCTTATAAACGCGAATAAGCGATCTTTTGAACTAACGTTAAAGATGATTTTAGATAAAGATTTGCGATGTTTTGAGTTTAACGTTATTCTTTCGTAGATCTTGAGCAGTGAGTGCTTGTTCATTTCTTTTCTTTTTTTCATGACGTAAAAATCCAATTCCAAAAGCTGTAGTTATAACCATTGTCTCAGTGACGTTACATTTCTTGAAATGTTGAAAAACTATATTTAGTCGGCTTGACTAGTCAGAATGACTGCAGATAGTTGGTGATGGAGGTGATTGTTGTGTCTGATGACAGCTGCGTGAGGAATCCAGGGCCAGTCACACTGAAAGCATCCTTGGACAAAATGGGTGTCTCTTTGCTGGCTTCTCATGTTGTTTATTATGAGGTTTTAAAGCTGTGTGTTGGGTTTTTCCCACTGTAGGTTTCCAAGCATGCCATTTTAGAATACCACAATCCCTTAAAATGCTTCTGTTATCAGTTTAGTAAATTTAGCCTATAGCCTAATTGCTGTGAGAGCAGCTTCATACCTGACTAACCATCAAAGGTAAGGGTAACAGATAAATCATCCCTATATATATACAGTTTTTTTATTGCCTTATGACACTATAATAAAGAAATGTGTATTATAAACATTATAAATATATATGCACTGTATATGCATTATGAGTACTTAACACTAATATGCTGCAAATTTTTGTTTTTTCATCTTAAATAGTTACACATTTATTTTCATCTTTGTTTTGGACTGTATCTAATGTTTAATATTAAAATTGAGTGTTTCCATACCATTTTAGTATATCAAAATCCCTTAAAATGCTTATTTTGTTATCAGTTTTGTAAATGTATAGCCTAGTTGCTTTGAGAGCAGTCTCAAACCTTTTATATATATATATATATATATATGAATGTTTATTATAATCATTACAAATATATCAAATATATATGCATTATGTGTACTTAATACCAATATGCTGCTGCAAATTTTTTTGTTTGCCATCATATTTATTTCATCTTTGTTTTGGACTGTATCTAATGTTTAATATTAAAATTCTGTGTTTTCGCACCTGATTTTGTAAGACTATGGTGGGTGGACCTGGGGAAATTTTGTGCATTTTTAAATTAAATGCATCTAGTGCATTTTGAGAGATTAAAATTAAGAGCTACAATCCCTTTTCAATGACCAAATGGAGGAAAAAAAGAAAGTAAAAAGTGCTTGCATTGACTCATACCTGGACTTTAAATTGGACTGAAACATCTGTTTTGGTCGTTATAGTGTCCCGCATTCACACTGGTGTTTTTAGGAAAACAAACAGTTTGAAAATAATAATAATAATTTTACTTAATATTATCCCTAAGACAGTAATATATTACTACTGTAATGCAACTGCACTGTTAAATTAAAATAAATATAAGTCTATAAGTTAATATAAAACAAAAGTATGTTAATTGTTTTTTATGCAAATGTTTACTTGCAATAGTCACCGATGATTCAGTTTTTGTAAGTATATTTGTTATTTTTGTTAAAATTACAATACTTATGTCTTAACTTCTTCACCCTCGAGCCTTTTTTTTTTTGAAAAAAACTTTGTGAAAGCAGGTTTTAAAAAAATGTGTCTTGTTACAAATCTAGTGAAATGCTGTAATCTGTTAGAAATGTTGTGAATTTGTAATTGCTGCATGTTGCGTTCCTAAGTGCATGTTAAACTCGCAGTGCATGTAGAGATTGAGTTTCCAAGACCAGATCATGAGCTGCTCGCGTGAACACAGTGCCACGCTTCGCTTTAAAGCATGCAGCGCAACAGACGACATAGTTCAAACGCAGCCTTTTGCTTGGGTAAGCGTGCAAAGCCATATTGTGTTTTTGAGTTTAGTTCGATTGACAGATGCTTTGCCAAAAAAATTGTTAGTTTTTTTTAGATTGTGTATACGTTGGGTGGTGTAATGAGATTTTTTTTGTGCTGTTCTCTAGTGTAAATGGTGCCATTTAGGCAATTGATAGTACAGATAATAAAGAATCTTAAGCCATTTATGTAAATACTTCATGGAAATGTTACATTATAAAATTAAAATGTGTTGTGAAAAGTGTTTGTCACTTTATGCAACAAAAGGAAATCCTTTCCAACAAAGGAAAAAACATGCCTTGCATCGAGACTAAATGCAATTTTGAGGCATTTTGTTTGGATGCTTAGTGCCCTACACGTTATCACGTTCTTGAATTTCTCACCACTATGGCTAGCTTGTCCTGTTTATTACTATTTGTCATCCCCAGGCCGATTTATGTACTTGCACTAGTCATTAACATTTCAGCGTGTACATGGAGACCTCCATCCTTCATTGTCCACTGATATGTCCTGCAATAATGAGCCGTGACTTGAAGGCTTTTCTGCTGCGCTGCGCTGACAGGAAACGAGGGACCTTTCTGCACACGTGTCCCCTTCATGCTAGATTCAGCATGATCTCAGTCGCTTAGACTGCTGCTGTGCAAGGATATTCTCTGTGCACATTGCAGTACGATGTCGCTGATCTTGGGCTTTTTAGTCCGTATGATAACGTGCATGTATTGAAAAACTTGTGTATGCATGTATATTGTTGCTTTGGCAATATTATATGTAAAAAATTATTGCTTTATGCCCAATTTATGCCAATATAATATGCTGTGCCATGCATTATGGTATTGTGGGAGAACATAGTCATGTTGATTTTTTTTTTTAAAAGTACTTTGGCGAAGGTTTTTGCAGGAGCTGCTTTCAGGACTTTACTCTTGTTTTCATACAGAGGTCATTTACAGAGAGGAGCTGCTCAGTGCTTCAGTATTGATTGCATTGAAATGATATGAGAATCTGAAGACCTTAATGATAGGTTTAGATGACTGTATGTAATAATTTGACTATGTAATTTGAAAAGTGACTTATCGTTTGTAAACATCATGGTGTTTGTGTTGTAAATGTGTTCAGAAGCTGTCTCCATCGCTTATCATTGTTCAGATGATGCTGTAGGCATGTTGCTGTACTAGTGTGCCAAGTATGCCAAGCTAAACATTGGCTCTGTTCCAAAACCTAGGGAGCTGCCTACTAAGTGAGCATCCTAACTGAAGCCTCATAAGGGACTTATTTGGAATGCATTACATAGGCAGCAACTCTGTGTCTTTTAAATCATATAAATGCTCTACACACAAAGTGTATGGTGCTTTGAAATGCTGCCTATGTAGGCAGTAGTGCTGGGCGGTAGCTTACTGATTGTTTGGAATTATAAATATGAGCGTAGTTCGTCTGTTAATATCACATGCGCTTTTTTGTTTGTTGTTTTTTTTTAGTCACTCAGACACAGGCAGTGCGCTGCATGAGACAAAAAATGAATATAGCCAAAACAACCGCATGTGCGTTGCACATCCATTCAGATGAACTGAAAAACAGCACAGATCGCTTGGCGGAGAGTGAAACTCTGATGCGCTCAGTCAGAGAGTGTTCGGCGAGTGAAAATATATCTTATATAAATTTATATAAATAAATTATTTAAGTATAAATAAACTTATACTTAGCCTCCATCTCACACACTGGCGAGTAAAATCTGAGAATTTATTAGCAATTGGCTAATATTAGACATCATTTAGTCGCCAGAGTGAAGATTTAGTCGCATATGCGAGTGATTTACTCGCAATGTAGAGGGTTGAAAATAGGGCATTCTAAGTCAATATACTGCAGTATTTCCTCTCTCAATCAGTAGAAAATATGGTTAACACCCAGACATACATGAAAAAAAAATACCGTCGTGAAACCGGTATAATTTTGAAAATTTTTGGTCATACCGCCCAGCACTAGTAGGCAGCGTACTAGGTTTTGGTATGCATCCATTTTTACAGTTTTACAGCTAGTTTATGACACACTTTTTGTCCAAGAAGAGCTTGAAGGACTAAAGTTGGCCAACATCTGAGAGAAACCTTTTTTTCTTCAGCCAGTTTGGACCCGTTTGCACACTGCCATAAGCTAACGTCTTTCTTCATATGTCGCTGTCTGCTGTGCATCTGCATTTACTCATATGAAAGCTACAGCACACAACACGGCCTTCCAAGTGTGTTCTTTGTCCATGGTGCACTCATACCCAAGGTTTCCTGGTGGAAATTGTATGCATTTGTTTTTATGTCTGACTGTTTTGCCTAAAATCTCTTTATTTTCATACAGAGTCATTGGTTTTATAGGTTCTTGCAGGTGGAATAACAAAATCATTTGTAATAGATTTCCAGCAGAGCCTTTGTCCATTTTTTTTCATTACTGTGGCTCATACTACATTTCATCTTATTTTATTATTACTTGAGTTTTATGATTGTTGTTTCCTCAAACTCGTGAACTTCTCTTTCAAGGCATGATTATTTATAGGGGATGCATTGTTTGAGATTCTTACTGGACTCTGCACAAATATGCTTTGTTTTTAAGCCTGTACCTATTTTAAAGGGATAGTTGACCCAAAAATGAAAATTAGCTCATGATTTACTCACCCTCAGGGCATCCTAGGCGTATCTGACATTCCTCTTTCAGACGAACACAATCGCAGTTATATTTAAAATTGTCCTGGCTCTTCCAAGCTGTAGGCTATAATGGCAGTGCAGTTTTTGAAGCCTAAAAAACTGCATCAGTCTATCATAAAACTACTCCACACGGCTCCGGGGTGTTAATAAAGGCCTTCTGAAGTGAAACGATGCGTTAGTGCAAAAAAAAAAATCGATTTTTGAACATTTATAAACTGTAATCTCCAGCTTCCGGTCGCTCAAGCAGGCGCGTTCATGACAAGGCATTCGAGCGTATGACGTAGGCGTAGCGGAAGGTGCTTCAGAAGGCCTTTATTAACACCCCGGAGCCGTGTGGAGTAGTTTTATGATAGATGGATGCAGTTTTTTAGGCTTAAAAAAAAACAGGGGCTCCTTTCACTGCCATTATACAGCTTGGAAGAGCCAGGACAATTTTAAATATAACTGCGATTGTGTTCGTCTGAAAGAGGAATGTCAGGTACTCCTAGGATGCCCTGAGGGTGAGTATATCATGGGTTAATTTTAATTTTTGGGTGAACTATTCCTTTAAGGAATCATAAATCAGTGTTGATCGATAATGGATTTTGCAAATAAACAATTTAATTTGATGATAAATTCTAAAATCATTATATTAAGTGAAAAATATTACAAATGTTGATGACTTAGGAGTCATGTGTTTGTGGACTTAAGCTAGATCTCTGGTTTTATTTGAACATCCAGTATTCTGATGGATTCAGTTCTGTTTTTGAAATCGCATTTTCCTAATGCATTATGGGTGTATTTTAAACATGACAGGAATCAGTCTCATTCCCTTTTTATGTATGTATAATTTGCATTGTAAAAAAAACAAGGTTAAATTGACCTACAAGGCCACTTAGCTTCCTCTGACCATGAGGCATGATCTGTTCCTCAGTTTTCCTTCCGTCTCCTACAGCTTTCCTCTATTCAAACCGTAATAGTCATTCTCTCTCGATTTTGGCCAGTTTCGGTTCAGAGGTGTTGGCTGTTGCTCAAGCCAATATAAATGATGACTCTCTGCATTCAGCTGTGCCTTTGATAATGTGGCAAGAACATTATTATTTTAGGCATGGTATAATCCTATTTTCTGTGGACATTGAATCTGTTTTGTTAGCCCAATGCATCACATGCCTTTGATGTTTCTTACAGGCTCCGTGAAGTGTCGGAAAAGCTCAACAAATACAACTGTAACAGGTATGTTTTACCAAGCATTTGCATTTTAAGCCCAGTGGTTTTAGAGTTCTTTCCACTTCAATGAAGTATTGAGTTTTGTGAAAACACTTGATTAACATTTCTCTGTCCGCACGGCAGTCATCCACACCTTGTTCCATTGGAGCAGGCCAAACTTAAGCAGTGTGTGGTTGGACCAAATCATGCTGGATTTCTCCTTGAGGTAACATTTATTATGCAGCACTGTTACTTTATATCATGCATTGCTTTAGGCTTTTTCTTAGACCTGAAGTGTTTTTTTTTTTACGTGGGTCATTGTATTTTAAAGCAATAATTTACTTTAAATATGAATATTATGCCTTTTTTGCTCCTATCCATTACATTTACATTTATGCATTTGGCAGACCTTTTTATCCAAAGTGACTTACATTGAATTCAGTGTAATTTCCATAAAAACTGAAGTTCACAGTGACCGTTTCTCCAGCTTTAGAAGGACCCTTTTTGAATTTTATTAGGTTTATCAGGTTCACTATGAACTGTTGTATATTAAAGAGCAATGCACATTTTCTATTTCTGCTTTTGTGTTGCATTGAAAAAAAAAAAGCATATATGTGACCCTGGAGCACAAAACCAGTCTTAAGTCGCTGGGGTATATTTGTAGCAATAGCCAAAAATACATTGTATGGGTCAAAATTAAAGATTTTTCTTTTATTCCCAAAATCATTAGGAAATTTAGTAAAGATCATGTTCCATGAAGATATTTTGTAAATTTCCTACCGTAAATATATCAAAACTTAATTTTTGATTATTAATATGCATTGCTAAGAACTTCATTTGGACAACTTTAAAGATGATTTTCTCAATGTTTAGATTTTTTTAGTTGTATCTTGTCCAAATATTGTCCTATCCTAACAAGCCATACATCACTGGAGAGCTTATTTATTCAGCTTTCATATGATGTATAAATCTCAATTTTGAAAAATTGACACTTAAGACTAGTTTTGTGGTCCAGGGTTAGTAATGACACAAGAATGAATATATAATGACCTTTTTTTTGTCTAGTTAACACAGAGCAATGCAGAAATGATATGTTCTTTTGTTTCAGGATGGACGTATCTGCAGGATAAGCTTTGCTGTCCAGCCCGACCGACTGGAGCTCGGCAAGCCCGATGGCAATGATGGGTGAGAAATTAATACCCCTGATATATGCATGGAAAATGCATGTATGAGCTGGCATGCAAAATAACTAGATCTGCCCCTTCTGGTTATGATTGCTCTGGGTTTATGTATTAAGCTTGTCTTAATTCTGTTTTAAGTGTGCTGACTTTTCACCGGCATAACCCACCTTATACCTGATTAAAGTTGTGTTGTGGGCTTTGGTGTGAAGAAATTTTATGTTAGTGTAGCATAAATACACTCAAATATGAACACTATATATGATGCAGTTATTATACCATAAATGTAGCCTTACAGTTGCATGGGAAAAAAATGCACTTGTATTATATTCTTAGTGATGGAAGGGAGGGAATTTAATGAAGTGCTTGAGATGGAAGCAACTCAGAACATTTTATAAAGGTGTGGCCAGCTTTTGTTGTCTGGTTTTATCAGCAGTGTTGTTTTATTACTGAAATGGTGAAAACCAAATACACATGCAAGCATGTTACAACACTAGCTTATTAACACTTTAATATTTGGTGGTACAGAAAATTAATTTAAGACAAAAATATATTGCAACTCTTAGAATTCAAAGATTCGGAGTACGAAAAGAGCATTTATTGAAAATAAACCGCAAAAACGACCTGTTATGCTCATGATGACCGCTTTGAAGTGGTTTGTTTGTGCATTTTTGCTTGAACTGAGCAAGGGGGCTAGTGCTTTTCGTGTTTTTGGGATTGAAGCCATGTTGCAACAGTGCAAATCTCCGTTTGTGAACCGCAAGCAATCCACCGTGTTTGTTTATGACCAAAATATTTAGCGGGCATGATGGCACATGATTTAGGGGAAGTCTTTAGCAGTTCCCTGCCAGCCTTTCCTACAGCTCTTGCCTGAGGAATGAGCTGCAGTCAGTTCTGATTCCCAAGGGTGTTGCCATGTTAGTCGCCCCACGGTACAAGAGGCCGATTGGCTCGTAGGCCTGGGCTCTCCAGGCTCTGTGATGGCAAAACTATAGTTTTGTAACTGATCTCCCATCTTTTGTTTCCAGTTCAAAGTTGAGCAGTGTCTCAGGGGCAGGAAGGAGCTCCAGGCCAGGCAGGACTAGTGATCCGCCCTGGTTCCTGTCTGGTTCTGATACACTGGGCAGACTGGCAGGCAACACCCTTGGGTAAGTTGTGGCAGGGCTATCAGAAATGCAGCCATCAGGTAACGTTGGCAGGCACACATGCAGTGCTGCCTTTGGTTATAAGAAACCTTTTTAAAGACGATTTTGCTGTTTTGTTTGCATGCATTAAAATCCTCACCTGAAAATATTCACACTACAAGCCCATTTCCAGAAAATGAAAATGAAAAATTATTATATGTGGGAGACGCTCAGTTACTAAGAAGAAATTAAACTCAAATTCCATGTTTTTCTGAAGTGTGCTTGTTAGAGCTGTGCAATATATCTAAAAAAAAAATGGTGTTGACTAGATTAAATGATTATTATAGTATAATATAATAATAATAATAATAGCAAAATATTGTATGTGTGTATATGTAAATAAAAGAAATTTGTCTTTATGAAAAATTAAATTTTCCTATGAACCGATATAAAAATACATTGTAATAAACAGCAATGTTTATTTTTGTATTATATAGTTATATTAATTTTATAATAATAGATATATAATCTCTGTGTGTTTGTAATTAAATGCAAAATGGCTACTTTTTTTTTTTTTTAGTAGATTAAGTTTAGATTTAAAAAGTTTAATGTAAAATATATTTTCCACAGTTTTTCACTAAATGAATATAAGGAATAATTCATAATTTCCGTTTATATAAACCAGTATAAATATACATGGTAGTAAACTGCCATATTTATATAATTGTTATTATATATAATGATTGTATATGATAATGATAAAATAACTACGTCCCCTTGGAATTATAAGGTTCTATCTGACATTTGTCAAAATTGAGTTATTTACATATTCTTATTCTGTGACAACTTATTTACATTATGTGATAGATTTTTTTAATGTTGTGTACATTTTGGGACTTTTTATTTAAAAAAACAAAAAGGTTCTATCTACACAGTCGAATGGAATGCAAAAACTTTGAAGCTCAATATCTCAAAACTACTCGGAATGCAGATAGAACCTTATGACGCACGTACGTAACCTACACGCCTATAACTGCATCACATATACTTATTTAATTAAATTGTAGCGTTTGTGAATTCACAGTTATGCTTAATTATAAATTTTAAGCGAGTTTAATATATCATGAGGCCTTGGAAAACAGTCTAATAATGTGTTTTATGGATTCTCGTCCGTGAAATGCGCCACTTCCGGTATTTTGAAAATAGCAAAATGAAGTCGAGGATTTTTTAAAATCGAATAGTTGAATAGAATCGACGAATTGCGGCAGCCCTAGTCTGCTTAGTAAGTTACATGTAATGTTTGAGTATATTACTCGGCTTTTTACATAACTTCATTCTCAATTGAGAAACTCGTAGCATTTTAAGCTTTAGACATACAATTAGACTGAAAAAAAAAAATTTATATATTTTTTGGCCATTCAGCAATACACCTAGGGCTGCAACTAAAAATTAATTTGATGAAGCCAAATTTTATTGCTTGCATTGTATTGATAAATATTTCACGTTATTAATAAATGCATGCTAAATATTGTGTGTAAAGGTTGAAATATAAATACTACAATATTACATAATACAATATAATCATATATGTATATAATATAAAAATACAATATAATAAAACAAATGTATTGAAAAATATTTTTAACAAATATAAATGCATGCTAAACATCGTGTGTAAAGGTTTGAAATCTAAATACTACAATATATAATAAAATGATTTTGAAAATCATGCTAAATGTATGCTAAATGTCATGCGTGTTGTGTGAAATATAAATACTAAAAAAAAAATTCATATAGCTTTTCACATTAATACAACTTTAGAAACATGACAGTTTAAATTATAAAGTAAAATATTCTACTTATATTTCAAACCTTGTTTCAAAATTTTTAGCATTATTTGTTTATTTATTAATTAATTAAAATTAATTAATTAAAATACAGGTAATAAAATTAGACTTTATGCAGTTAACAAAATAATAATAATGATATAATATACAAAATTAATTCTATATTATTAATATGAATTTAATTAATTATATTTCATTTATTTTGGGGTGATGTGACGCCGAGCTGCTGTGTAATTTTGCAGCTGATTGGTTTTGCTTCCCCAACCAGGCCCAGGTGGTTCTTCAGGGAAAGTCCAGGAGTGTCATAATTCGAGAGCTGCAGCGCACAAACCTTGACGTGAACTTGGCTGTAAACAACTTGCTGAGCAGAGACGACGAGGACGGAGATGACGGAGACGACACGGCCAGCGAGTCCTACTTACCTGGAGGTAAACGGATGCAGAAGATGGGTCACGGTAATGACGCTCAAGACTGAGACATTTTAACAAACCTTTCTGACAGTACCTTTCATATTTCCACAGAAGACTTGATGTCACTGCTAGACGCGGACATTCACTCCGCACACCCCAGCGTGATCATTGACGCGGACGCCATGTTCTCGGAGGACATCAGCTACTTCGGCTACCCCTCTTTCCGACGCTCTTCCTTGTCTCGTCTCGGCTCTTCACGAGGTAAAGGCCAAAACACACAGTCTTGCTTGCATACACTCAGTGTCATGAAGCCATTCAGCAAGATTTGTGGAAATGATTGTGCCACAACCACTGCGTTCTTCGTTAATATTGTATTTTTAATATATAAAGTCACAACTCGCAACACATTTATGCAAGATATGAAATATGAGGAAAATGCTATTGATTTGAAACCGAAGTCAAACAAAAGATTATTCATAATAAATGAATCCCTGCAAATTCAGATTCACATGAGACACTTTAAAACAAAACAGTAAAACTGATTTTAAAATGAGTTCAAATTCTGATTGGAATCAGCTGAGTTCTATATTAATGCATCAGGTTACAATGTTGCTATGCAATTGTAAATTACTGAACTTAAAGGGATAGTTCACCCAAAAATGAAAATGTGATGTTTATCTGCTTACCCCCTGGGCATCCAAGATGAGAGATAGGTGGCGGTAATGCACTTATAAGTCTGCGATCCGCCGTAAAGCAAGAAGACAACGCACTCAGGACAGTTCGGACATTGCGGAGTATAAAGCCAAATTCACACCGCCAGCGACTTTTTCGCTGCTTGTCGCTTGTGGCTGGCAATTGAGGTCGCTAGTGGGCGTTCCCACTACTGGTTGCCTAGTTACCCCCGTAACACTCCACTACAGCAGATGAATCACGTGCTCTCCACTGACTTCACTCCCATTGGTTGTCGCTCGTGAAATTCGCTGCTTATTTGCATAAAGTTGAAGAATTCTGAACTTTTGTCGCTTGACTCGCATCGCTTGACACGCCCACATTCCATCGCCAACGGTCACTGTCGCTCGTGTCGCCGGAAGTCACCAGCTCTCCATTGAAAATGAATGGGATTATGCCGCTCTGTTGCTGGCGGTGTGAACTGGGCTTAAGAGGTAAAAAACTATATAAATACTATTCAGTTTCTTGCACAGACCGATTGTTTCGTGTCTTTACACATCAATGTATTGTCACGAGCCGCAGGGTTTAATTTGGTTTTGTTTGTGTATGTTTTTTTTTTTTACTCTCAAAGCCGTGATTCCCATTCACCTCCATTATAAGACTGGCAGACTGCAACGGTTTGTGTTAAAAATTTCCAAACCGTTTGTGTTCTACTGAATCAAAGTCACCTACATCTTGGATGCCCTGGGGGTAAGCAGATAAACATAAAATGTTCATTTTTGGGTGAACTATCCCTTTAACAACATTGCTTAATAACAAGTTTGGGTCAGGTCCTGTGGTGTACTTTTGAATCACATGCAAATTATACTTTACTAAATTACATGTTGATAAACCAGCATCTGTGAACCGAGTGCTTTACGATCAGCCTCTGGATATCAAATACTTCAAGATTAGGCATGGGCCGATTACCGGTTTCAAGGTATACCGCGATTTGAAAATTTCACAGTTTCGAAACCGCTAATATTTTCCGTTATACCGTTCCTGCGGTATGCGCTGTTTTTCATGTCTCCTCAAAGACTGAAAGTGTAGGAATCCCTCAGGTTGAGTGCAGTGTAGAGAGTAACACATCTCCTCCTCCTGTTGGTGCGAGCGAGCGAGCGGTCACGTGT